GGTATAACTGAAAAAATGATTATTATTATTATTTTAATATTTATATAGTGCCAGCAAACTCCGTCGTTAAGGTTACTTGATGTTACTTGAACATATTATAAAGTCACAGTTGGTATTTGTGGTGTTGGTTCTGCTCATGCGCAAACACATTGATAATTTTTGGGTATGAGCTAATTGTTAAAGGTTTTTCGGAAGTCCTTTCCTAAGTCCATTTTCCGAGTATCTGTGATTCAGCTAAAATCTTGCTAAGTCTTTTTCAATAGGATTGGTATTGCTTAAAGGACTAGTTTGTAGTAATCAAAATGAAGTTGTTATGGTGCCAGGAGCTCCCTGATGCTGGCTCGCCTGTAGGGGTTAAACCCCAAAGACCGTGCCCCCATATCACTCGACCTCTCTCTTTCCCCATCCAGTTCTTCTGCTCTCAGTAATCTTAGCTAATGGAAGGTTTGGGCATGACAGATTAGTTTAGAGCAGTCAGCTGATTCTCAATGCCAATTAGTAGCTCCCCATTCTTAAAAATGGTAGTACCCTTTTTTCTGGCCAAATCATTAGTCATATTTTAAGGAGTTTACTATTTAAATTTCAGACAAAATCAAGTTTTAAGTCAATTAAAGTTACAGTTGTCAAAATATGGAAAACCTTTTTTAAAATGTTAAAACTGTTTGCATTCTTTTGTGGATTACTATAAACAGACCCCCAAATGCCAACTTCTCATATTTCACTTGCTGCATTACATTAGCTGCATCACATTAAGTTAAATATTCTAATGCTTTTAATACCAAAATTACACAATTTTTAATATCACCCATTTGAAGAAGTTTTAGCTCTTGTCTAGAGCAAAGGTGACTACTCTGTCTGGAAACGTTTTGACAGGCTGGGGAATTAATAGTAAATATTGTATACTTAACGTGTCAATGTACGTGTTCACTGTTTGGTGGCTCGCTAAAAATAGGCTTGGATAGAAGAATGAGAAAATGACTATTGTGATACGTCGATGCCTCCGTTTCCTCTACAGTAATGCCCTTACACCTTTCTTTCTAAGGCTTTTTGCCGCATCCTAAACAAAACGATATTGAAGAGAGCTGATTCTGCTTTGATCCCTACACTTGTTGTCAAAGCGCTTGGGATTGAAGGGTATATTGGCTACAATTGACTGTGACAATTAGGAGATGATCAGAGCTGTAGAGTGGAACACTTAAAGGGTAATTTACATGTCAGTTTGTCGAATAAAAAAAAAGATATTCAGCTAAGAATTTTTTTCCCCTCCGAGCCTTGTAAACTGCAATTTGTGTGCTGGTAAGAAAACCTGGCAATGATGAAGGAATACCCATTTCCATTTGAAAAGAAGCAATCATAGACTACTGCTGAGTCTATTGTCCACTAAAAGTGCTGATTTGCAGTCAGTGAGTGAATGAGTGGAACCGTCTCTAAGTACAACCTTTTTGCAAGGTAACTCCCCCTTGGTGGCTTAATATGACCCGTTAGAGTGTGTGTTATACATTACGCCTCTAATTTACAGTGCTGTTATTATAATATTGTCAGCATCTGTGAAAATCCTTTACCTTATAAAAAAAAAAGATGAATATATTGAGCCAGAGGGAGAAAAAAAAAACAGGAGCTCACATCTGCTTGATAGGCTAATAATTCTCATAAATAAAACCTTATTGTACTACACTATGAATTGCCTTTCTTTTTCAATGTTCAGAATGCACTGTTTTCTGCTCCAGCTGGCTGTTGTCTTTCTCTAACATTAAAAAAAGAAATGAAATAAAGTCTATAGTGTGAGCATTTCAGTGTATATAACTGCAGCGTGAATTGTATGCACAATATACAATGTTCTTTATAATACGTTACAACAATCATATGTTATCGATTGCAGGCTTGAATTCTTTTGGCTAAAGTTAGACATTTGTGTCATCGTAATTAGTTATAAAACAGGTTTCAGATACAGTAAACTAAGAACAGATAAAGCATCAATGTAGAGTATAAGGAAGCACAACATATTAAAAAAAACAAAAAACAATGGACTATTTAAATCTGACAAATCTACTACATTCCATTACTGAGAAATACAAAATATCTTCTACTACGGCACTAATTGAATGATATGCTCTTGAATAAATCTCAGCACATACAGACATCATAAAAGTCTGAAACATTCACCTGTAATTAGTGTGTTATATTTTTCTTAGTGGAGCTTGCTGTAATCATACTTTATTTCTCAGTTTGGGAATATAGTAGACATCTCAAATTAACAACCAATTAACATGGTATTCTTTTTTTTTTTTTTTTTACTTTAATGCCCTTTTAATGGCATTTCTTATTGCAAAGTACATACTAGTTCACCAGTCAGACACCAGTTTTAGTGTGTTTGTATAGTTATGGAAAATATGTTACACTTTATGATTATATTGAATCCTTAAGAATATCAAAACAAGAAAAAAGCATAAGACAACATTTAATGGTGTTCTTACATTTGTTACAAGAAGTAGAAGTTATTTAGTTTGAAATATGTATAAACGAGTGGAGCATTGTGGTAATCTTAAAGATTACAAAGGGACTATTTGTCAAACGGTAAATTGCGATGAATTGACAGGGGAATTACATATTTAAAGGAACACTATAGGATCAGGAACACCTACGTATTCCTGACCAAATAGTGTTAAAACCACCATCCAGCTCCCCTGCCCTCCTCCACCCCCACCAGCTAGCCCTAAATATAGTAAAATCTCACCTTTACTCCAGTCTGCTGCTGCTGGTGCCTGATCTGCCTGTTTGGTTTACATCAGCAGAAGTGGTATTCTGAGCCAATTACAATGCTTTCACGTTGGATTGTCTGAGACTGTCAAGGAGGTAGATAGGGGCAGAGCCAGCAGAAGCCAAACACAGCCATGGCCAAACAGCTTCTTCTGATAGAGATACATTGAATTAATGCATCTCTATGAGGAAAGTTCAGTGTATTCATGCAGAGGATGAAGTCACTGAATGGCAGTGTTGCACACTGTGCAGCACTGCCCCAGGAAGCACCTCTAGTATCCATCTGAGGAGTGGCAAGTGAAGTTATCCCTAGGCTGTAATGTAAACATTGCATTTTCTCTGAAAAAGGGAATGATTATACTCATCAGAACAAATACAATAAGCTGTAGTTGTTCTGGTGACTATAGGGTCCCTTTAAGAGCCAAACAACCTGCTGACTTGCCCATTTTTCCAACTCAGGTATTTTGGCTGAAAATCCCTTTAAAGTTCTCTAAAATAAAACCAGTTTAGTGAGTCATACAATCATTTTATTTTCCTTCTATTCACTAATATAACATATGATGAATTCCTTTTACATAAATATTTTCCTCCTTTAATTAATTCACATCACAATCCCTTCCATGATTCTTTAGGGGTTTATTGACTGAACAGTTGCTTGTAGTGAACTGAAATTCAATTAGCAAAATTTAGAAAAAAGTAGAACCGCAGAGTAAAAAAAATTTACATTTTGATCTACAATCTACACAATGTAGAGTGGACAAATCAAAGGTGTTTAATCAACTTCCTCAAAACTCTTCAGGAGGGATTTTCATGTATCTTATGCAAATGTTACTATCATTTTCAGTGAAATCATTTTACTATTATATGAGCACTATGATCACAGTAACATATCTCTGTTTACCTCTAAGTTCCTCAACCACAATGCTGCAGCCGTAAACTGTCAACAGTATCAGCCAGGCAGAATACAGGACAGTCGTCAGCATGAGACACGCATACTTAAAGCGGCATGGACAATTCTGAGTTGTTCATAAAGATGGAGTCTCTGATATGAACTTTGTAGAAGTTTTTTTAAACTGAAATCTCAACGCAATTAAGGGATATAAGATAAGGACCTCTTTGCTTCTTTTAATATTTGAGTTGTCATCAAATGTTTCAAATGATGGAACTTCAACCATTTCCCTTCTTTCGGGTTTGCTGTGGTTTTGTGGTATCTTCTATAGGCTCACGTTTTGTACTCTTGCACATTTACCATTACGCACCACTGACAGTTCTGGTCAACCGTGGGTGGAACCAAAACATGAAAGTATGGAGAAAGGTGACTTACATGTCAGAATAGATTTAATTTCTCTCTCCCAAGGTTGACTCCATGCAAGTGGCCATGTGACTTTGGTACACAGACCCTACAAGTGACAGTGTCGCTTTAACAGTCCTTACAGGGCCGGATTAACATAGGGGCTGATGGAGCTGCAGCTCCAGGCCTATGGAATAGGCCCATTGATTTTAAAAAAACAAAAACTTTTTTTTACATTTTTTTCCACACACTACTCTTAGGGATTCCACCTGGCTTTTATTTTATTGGCACAGCCAGTATTTGAGGCTGCCTGGCTGGTGCCAATATTGCAGTGATACTGGCAATACAAATGCTGGTATTTTTTCTCATAGATTACTATGCAATACCAGCACCGGCCAGTAGGGGTCACTGTGTTTGGAGACAGGCAGGGATAGGAAGTTCCAGCATATCCCTCCCTGCCTATCTATACTCACTGATCTGCAGGGGTGCAGCTACAGAGAGTCCAGACAGCAATTCCCACCCTGCAGAGACAGCCTATAGCTCAGGGAAGTAAGGGATGGGGGAAAGGCTGCAAGGAGACATACACTGAGACACTAAGGGACACTGGGAGACATTATGACACAGACACATGGGGGCACAGTGTCCCCATGTCTCCCAGCCAGTGTCCCTGGTGTCTCAGTGCCCCCTAGTCTCCCAGTGACCCCTAGTCTGCCAGTGCCCCCAATCTGCCAGTGCCCCCAGTCTGTCAGTGTCTTACTCACTGTCCCCATGTCTCCTAGGGGGCACTGGGAGGAATCCATCTATACAGCAGAATCAAACTAAGTAGTTTTTTGGTGCTTTTACAGCATTTTCTCTTATGTCACTCCTTGTGATTTACATCATGTGATGTCCCCATACATATTTAATTATGCAAATTAGCAAGACCGGTATGTTTTTCCAAGAAAGGTGGCAACCCTAACTACTTTTCACATACTCTTACTTAAGTATGGAAACTTAAGAGGGATGTATGGGAACAAAACTTGTGTGGACTGGCTGACAATGAATATAGTTAAAGGGACACCAGAGTTACCAGGACAACTACAGCTTATTGAATTTGTTCTGGTGAGTAGAATGTATGTGTATGTGGTGAGCAGAATCATTACCGTCAGGCTTTTTGCTGTAAACACTGTCTTTTCAGAGAAAATGCAGTCTTTACATTACAGTCTAGTGATAACTTCACTGGCCACTCCTTAGATGACTGTTAGAGATCCTTCCTGGGTCATGGCTGCCTAAAATGCATCCAAACATTCAGTGTCTCCTCCCTCTGCATGCAGACACTGAACTTTCCTCATAGAGATTCATTAATTCAATTCATCTATATAAGGAGATGCTGATTGTCCAGGGCTGTGTTTAAATCATGCTGGCTCTGCCCCTGATCTGCCTCTTTGTCAGTCTCAGCCAATCCTATGGGGAAGCACTGTGATTGGATCAGGCCACCACTTCTAATGATGTCAGCAGACTGCTTGTTTTTATGAGTAACAGCATGCAGAGTTACAGCTTCAGGCTTGAATATAGTATGATTTTGCTATATTTATGGAGGCATGAGGGGCCCAGGTGGGCTAGATGGTGGTGTTAACACTATAGGGTCATGAATTCATATTTGTGTTCCTGACCCTATAGTGATCCTTTGAGGTAATGCTGACTTTGGTCTTTCTAACACTGTGGCATGTTCCCTTTCTTCTACACTCACTACATACAGCTTTTCTCTGTCCCAGACTATATACCAGGAGCTTCTGCCTGCTAGTAAGAAGGTAAGGAGACAAGTGGACCAGCGAGTGCTAGGGGACAGTCCTTAGAAAGCGTTGAGTGAGTGCATCATTAGATGCATTTATGCCAAGCTCAGGGTGCTGTCTGCATAGTATGCCCTTAGTTGGCCAGCTGCATGATTGGCAGGCAGCCTGACATGCATTCATGCCAGACTGGCCTTCTAATTCTTTGAGCAGACATGTCCTCTTTTTGGGCATGTTCGCCCCTTTTGGCAGGTTACGTGATTTGTGTCAGTGGCACACCCTTTTACCATGCCCATTGACTTCCTGCTTGACTGGACACTGCTGTTATGGATTTACTTGAAAGATGAAAACATAAATTAGAGAGAGATTAGCCTAGGGTATGTGTTTTCTTATAGCTGCTGTTTTTTTTCTCTCCAGCACCATCTCCATCAGATACATGACGCTTGGGAGTGTTTTACTGTTTTTGGTCGATATGATTCTGTAATTAGGCCCGTCATAATTGTCAGCACCAGGCCCACTGGGCTCTTAATCTTGCCCTGAGTCCTTACCCTGTGCAGCGTAGAGCACTCTGACTAAATACTGGCTCTTATTTACCAGAAAACCTGCAAAGTGCCAATCCCTTTTTACCCAGGTCTAGTTACATTTTGCTTCCAACAAACTGCATTTCCTGTTACCTGAACCTCTTAAACCACAAATCTTTTCCTTTGGTTATTTAAAATATGGGGAGATATAATTTAACCAAAACTACTTCAAAGTCATAGCAAAACATGACGAATAAGCAGGATGAGATCTGCTGTTTAATCCTCTTTTAGGAAATCAATATGTACTTTATCGTGTGAAATATAGATTCAAAATTCTAGTTAAAATAATTTATATTTTTTTTAGGATCGTAAACAAGGGGTTTCCAAAGCTTTACATAAGTATAAAAAAAAATTGTAATTCAATTACAGTTACATCTATTTACTTTTTTGTGAAAATGAGAATAGTGGCCATTATATAGATTCAAAAAGGTTTCCTCCCCTTCCTGACCCAAACTTCACCTGTGTGACAATGGAAAAAAGTCAAAATCCTATCATAGCCAAAGGGTAGAGACTGACGGCTTATTGACCAATTGGCAAGCAAGCGAAAGGACCATTGATTATGTGTAACAAACCATTAATTCCAACATCCCTGCTCTCAACGAGCTTAGGATCTCATGAAATGACATAAACAAAACAAGGCAGCCTCAAGACCATCCGTTTTATGCAATTTATTTTACATTTTTATTCGTTTTTGATCATGTGATTGTTTGTGAACTCTTGGCAGTAAATCTTGGTTTAAAAGAAAGCTGATAACTTTACGGGGGTCCTGTAACCCTTTGAATTCCGGGGGAAACTAAAACACATTGAAAGGCAGTGTTTTCTCGCTGTTAGGTCTCTCCAAGGGTTTGTAATGGCTTGTAATGGCATTTTTAATTGCCATGTAACTTTATAGACTGTGTGGGGTTGGTAACTTTTCTCCCACACCTTCAGCCACTTTTAGAAAAATAAATAAATAAAGTCACATTACGTGCTTTCAGGCTTCAGTACAGACAGTGTAGCGTTCTAAGGATTTAGAAGTCAGGAGTTACAGCCTGGGCCTTGAACTTTTTCTAAATATTGACTTGTTCTTAGTAGACCAAAACAGACCACGGGGTTTATTGGCTAAACTCTGAATTGTAGCCAAGGGAGATGGCAAAGTTATGTTAAAACAGCTGATCTTGAAACATTTCCCAACTTGCCTGTAGTTACAGCTTGGCTAGTTTAGCATAAATGTTTTTATTTGGATTTCAGTTGGCAAGAATAATATTTTACATTCAGTTTGAATTCTTATTTAAGATTAATTTTGTAAATATTTATTAAAGGGACACGCTAAGTACCAAAACAACCTCAGCCTAATGAAGTTATTTTGGTGTATTGACCCATTGTACAGCTCTACAGAATCTGATGGTGCTGTATAAATAATAAAATAATAATTGATCATACCACTTCAGTCTACCTACCTTTTCAGAGTAAATGGGAACTGTCACTTTTCAGGATCTTTAACCCTTCACACAGCCACTTGTGTATACACAATTGCAGGGGTGTACTTAGAGCATTTGGCACCCGAGGATGATCCTGTATTTGACTCCCCTAGCTTCACTTTCATGGCTGTCACCCACAAAGCCTCCATAAAAAGGGCTTTATTTTTACTGCATACTGTGCTTACTTTAGAAATGTTATCTCCTGCTCTGCTAATTGAACTTTATTCACACACAGGAGGCTGCTGTACACTCTAGCAGGAAACTGACAGAGCAGGGCATGAGATTCTAAATTAAACACTCTGTGCAATATTGGAAGTTAAAATTTTACTACTTTTTCAGGAAGTATGCAGGGAGATTATGTGATACTCACAGGGCCGCCATCAGAAATTTTGGGGCCCCTAACACAGCTCAAGGTCTGGGCCCCCCTAACACAGCTCAAGGTCTGGGCCCCCCTTCAAGCCTGCCTCCAAATCCCGCCCACAGGAATACACACACACTAACAGATACAAATACTGAAACAGACATACACACATGCATAGGGAGATGCTGAGACACACACACATATACAAGCAGACATACATACTGACAAACATACATATACATACTGCATATTGATATATACATACATACCGACAGGCATACATACATACATACAGACACACACAGGCATGCATACAGACACACACTGGCATACACGCACTGGCATACATACACACACACATACACTGGCATACATGGGCATACATACACACATGCACTGGCATACACACACACTGGCATTCATACACTGGCATCCACACACTGGCATACATACACACATACACTGGCATTCATACACCGGCATACACACTGGCACACACATACACTGGCATACACAATGGCATACACACACTGGCATACAAACACATACACTGGCATTCAGACACTGGCATACACACACTGGCATACACACACATACACTGGCATTCATACACCAGCATATACACACACATACACTGGCATTCATACACACTGGCATACACACACTGGCATTCAGACACACATACACTGGCATTCATACACCAGCATACACACATACACTTCCTCCCCAGCCACCCTCCTCTCTTCCTTACCATTTCGTCGCAGGAGGGTGGCTGGGGATGATGGGCATCGGCTGCCTCTCTTCAGGCTGCGTCCTCCTTCCCGCGCGGAGTAAAGTGGGAGGAAGTGACCGGACGTCACTTCCTCCCAGCAGCACTTGCTTCCGGCTGCATTTTTTTTTTTAAAGGGGCCCGGTCGCGCTATTACAGCGCTAAACGGGCCCCTGAAGATAATAGGGCCCATTGGGTGGCCCTAAATGATTGGGGCCACCTGATGGGCCCCATCAGCGTGTGGGCCCCGGTGCAGATGCACCGGCGGCAGTTCCGCTGATCCACGTGGGGCCCGGGCGGCCGGGCCCCCCAGGGCCGCCGGGCCCGTGACAATTGTCACGGTTGTCATGCCCTGATGGCGGCCCTGGATACTCAGCCAGTGGAGGTATGAATAGATCTGCATTAAATGTGATTTCACTACTTAACTCCTAAATAGCTGAGAACTGAGCAATGATACTTCAGGTTCATGATCTAAACACCACAACCACTTCATTTAGCTAATTTTGTTTTGGTGATTATAAAATGTGTATAACATTATCATCAGTTGTTTCTAAAATTGAAATATGAAGCACTAACATTCTGTATAGCTCTACCACTAGTGATTATATTAAAATTATAAGATTTGGAGAGTAGATAAACGACTGATCTTTTAAATGTGTAATCTAAAGACAAGTGAAAATGTAGATGCTAAGAGGTATATTAAGTCAAATAGTGAGGTTTAGTTTTTTGACAACCAACTGGCAATTAGACCAAACTTAGATGAGTTGTGAAAAAATATTACGAATTGGATTTTGATAGGAAATTACCACAACTTACTAATCGATCTAGATATATTTAAATCTAAATGCAGCCCATTCATTTGGTAGGAAGAGTCTGATAAGTTATAAGGCTGAAATATACAATCCAAATTAAAGTCACTCCCACCACAAGAGAAAAAAACATTGTAAAGTAAATATATTTAAAAAAATAATAATCCAAAGGTGGGCTGTAAGTGATTCATTTAAAATGTAAATGTATTGGCTCTTTGTATTGTAACCTCAATACAGACATCATTATGTAATCATGTGCAACGTTATGTGGGTTATGAAAGTTACAGGGTTCAAGAGGTAGAAAATCATTTTGATTATGGTCCTCAACAAACTTATAAACAAAGGAAGATATATAGACTCCAAAGCCCCCCTAACCCTGAATATCTCCTAACCTTATTCCACTAATATTTCAGACTCCC